ATAAACGTTTTACGACTTTGACGATTTTAATACGTCCTCTGCAGTATATTATAAAGATTATGGGTGTAGTAATACTACACTATACAGGGTTGGATTTAAGGGAGGGGACTGAGTAAGGGACGATTGTAGAGCAGGACTCCCTACAGATTTGTAAGTGTAAAAATAAGCATTAAGAAATTAAAAAATTTTGATTTAATTTTCCTCGGCTCCAGATTTTAATGTAAACAATTAAATTACAATACAAAATACGTAATATAGATTTACATGCACGGCATATTGTCATATCAAATTTAAACATTGTCCGTTGATGATGGCATCAAATTAAATCAATAGTAATTTTATAAAAGAAACCTCATTCTTTCAGGCTTATAACTTTTGATTTTCATTATCATTTTGAAATATAAATAGTAGGTCTTAAAAAAGTAATTTTAATAACTCAAGTGTAATAGACATTATTATTAACTTTAGTACAATACATTTAGAGTTATAATACATTTTACAAGGGATTTTCTCTTTACAGACGAAAACAATAAAATACGTGTGTGTAACTATGGCTATTCTATGTCTCTATGTTATCGGTAATGCAACTGCAGAGTAGTTACTTATACTTGTATGGCTACATTTTACATCAAAATTATTTTTAATGTTTACAACAACAATAAAGGTTCGATTTACATGGAATAAAAATAAAATATAGTAATATAAATACCTAGGTAGTTTATTATTAATTTGACCGTTTATGAATATTCTTATGTAAGCACCTTCCTTTGTACTTATAGGCGGTGTTACATGTTTCTGACCTCACCCTACAGTATATAGCACTTTATCACGGAAAAAAGTAATTATTAATTTATTTTATTTTTGCTTTACAGTAATCCATTCAAAGCAACGTACGATACTTTTAATTTTCAAACAAAATACTATGGCCTTTGACACAAACATGAACCAATTTCAGCAACAGTACCAAAACTGATGTGCATAACTACAGGCAGTCTTTCCAATCTAAAAATCAAACCTTGTATAACTGCGCTTTGTCAGACTACGGTATAAAATTTTACTGTTGATTGACAGTCGTTTTTCCACTATTCACATCATTTTATGATCACTTAATTATTTTCGAATAGTTAATTAATGTTCTTCAAAGTCAATAAAAATAACAATAAATGAACCAGTCAAATGTTAAAAAAAAATAACTACATACCCACCAAAGAACTTTTTTTAGAAACTTTATATTATTCAGTGAGAGATTATAAAACCACATTATCGTTATAGGTAGGTACCTGCTAAATATTATGATTAGTGAATTTCGATTTCAATCGTATTATAATATGAGTGCATAAATAGCTTGTATTATTGTTTGAATTTTAAATTTTAATAGTCAACTTAATCATATTTTTTTTACTCTATACAACGCCCAATTTATGCTACTAATTGTATTTTATTTCCAAAAACAACATTTCATGGTTTGGTATTAATTATAAATTTTCTCATCTCAAACTTCAATAAGTTTTTTAATTTATAGTTTGGTTGCGTTTAATTATTATTTAATTAATTGTTGGAATAAGTTTAATTACTAATGTTGTAGGTAGGTATTAGATTTAGTACTTCTTCCTTTTTTTTAGAATATTATACCCATTGTTGACAAATTACTAGTAAATTATAAAATGTCTCAGTACATATTTACGAGCATTTCTCTTCATAGAAACCTAATTAACAAGGTTTAGAACAAAATGTTATTATATTTGCCTTTATAAATTTAAATTAAAAATAACGTGTTAAAGTTTGTACAATAATAAATTAATAAATAACTTAAAATTTGAATTTAAGAAAAAAATATACAGTCATGTGGTACCTACTTAGGTAGTTCAAATATTACAACATAAATAGTAAATGTTCCTTGAAAATATTTTTTTAAGCTTTATTGATTTACCTATCTGTTTTGTAAAACTCCATTTTTTAATTTATGTTGAAACAGTTTTATTCTATTCTAACAACAGTAGTTAACATCAGCCATAATGTAAATAATGAAATAATTATTGTAAGTTAGTTATACTTATGTAATATACATGCATAGTGTATACATGTTCTAACCACAATACATTGTTATTCAGTTTTTTTTTTCAGAAAAATGTTTTATAAAATAGTAAAATCTTAACATTGTCTTTTAAATTCTTTATTTTGTATAATAATATGGTATGTTTATTATCATTATGCAAGTACATTTTTATAAACGTTAATTTAAATTTCTAACATACGTTTTTACTCCGACATGATGTTATATGTTTATTGTTTACATTAAATGAGTGTAAAGTAAAAATTTGTTCATATCATTGGAATATTTGTCCAGTAAGGGAGCACCTAAATCATTTCAATAGTCTATTTATTTATTTTTTTTAGTTTAAATATTATTGTTCAATAAATGTGTCAACTATACCTATTATGTATTCCTCATCCAGTATAGTATCCAAATTATCTGGTAAACATGGTATCTATACCTACTTATTAATCACCTATAGTTGGATAACTGTTTATTAATTATATTATAAATCGTATAAGGATATTTTGGTTGTTTTATTTGATACACTGCTCGCATTCTTAACAAGTATCCTTAAATATAGTGGTAGGAGCCTAAGTAGGTTTGGTAATTATCTCGAGTATTTGTTGTGTTATATTATAATGTCACTGTAATTAAACGCTTTGGATAAAAGCACTTAAACGTAATTCCCAGTCTGTACAAAGAACTCAACAGATAAATGTTTCATAATAGGTATTAAAATTCATATTTAATATTGCCACTCTGTAATTCCTAAAAGCTAAATAACTACTACGGACCAACATTTGCAGCTAAACATATTTTTCTATTTTCTTTTTTCAACACAAATGAACATTTACATTTTACATATTTAGGAATTAATTACAATGACAAAATATATTAGAAGTAGGTATACAATTCACATAAAAATAATAATAATGAAATTCAACTTTTGTTTATGTGCGTGCTAATTTCGATCTTTATTTCGACTTTTACATACCATTTAAATAAATTAAAAATGATTAATCATTGTTTAAAAATATAATATATCAACGTACATTATGGAATATGGCAACAGTCGGTACAACAATTTACGGAACTCATCTATTTCATAATATAAAATACACATTGCACGCTATGTGAGTACCTATACAATTGTGTATAAATGTCGTTCTATGAATTAAATCTAACCAGCATCATGCCATTTTTGAAATATTATTTTTTATGTGGACACTATTAAATAAATTATTAATTAGAATAATATAAACTAATTAATATAGTTATTTATAGTTGTTTTTCATTGGCTTTAGAATTGAGGACATAAGTTTGGTACAGTTATTTTATTAACAATAATATTTCAATAAAGAAAAACAGTGAATGAGTAATAATTCAAAAAGTTGTATTTCTACCTATTTAGTTTAGTGCTTTAAATTATACTGTTGAAACAATACAAGGGGTACATCCTCTTGAAACATCAACATTGCTATTTTTTTAGCTCTTAAATGTAGTATATTTTTGGAGTAGGTAAGCCCATTGCAAAGTAGGTACAAATTAAAGCAATTAATCAAGTTAATACCATCATATTCTGCATAGAGAAGCGAGTATTTTTTTAGCTTAGCCATTTAAGTAAAGTATTATAAATATATCGATCGATGTACAAACTATAAATTATAAAATTAAATAGTTTTCACAAACAAGTACCTAATTAGAGAATTATAATACTTATAATAGTTTCTAATGGTTTAATTATAATCATGCAACAACACTTCTCATATTAAATATTATATAATTAAATAAAGAGTTATTACATGGTCTTTTTAAAATACTTAAAATATTATTTATTGTACCTTCTTAGAATATTATATGCGTGCATTCGAATGAGATTTAATTTATATTATAGTTACACATTTGCATGTCATAGTAACACGTACATTTTACATAGATATTATAAAATACTCAGATTTTCGATAAAAATACAACATCATTACATCCATAAAAAATTATTTCGAAGACACGATTTAAATATGATGGCTTATCAATGGAATTTTCCAGTTAATTTGTTAAATGTAAAACATGTATTTAATAGAAATGATATTGAGATTCTCTGATCATAAATAATTTATTGCCTCAAGAGGATGTCAACGCAATAAAGCAAATTTTCGTTCAGCTTCAGCATAACCAATTCTGTGTTAATATAGCTTAAGCATAAAATTGAATAGACAAGCTACCTACCATCACACTCCAGAAATAAAATTATATAGGGAACCTAATAGGAATAAATACAATTTTGGACCCTAATTCTTATTTTTTAATTTTAAAGCGAAATGTGATAATTTTAAAATTGTAATATTTTTCAGCTAACTTATTATAAGATACAAATATTGTATAGAAAATTATGAAATACCCCAGATTATATCCTTAACTTTACTTTTGATAATATCTCTAATGTTAAAGCTAGCACCAGACGATTATTTCTCTTGAACGTCAATATTTTGCTGTGTTTCACATACTACAGAGACAAATAAATTAGTGCAATGGCATCTTATATCTAGGTATTCTTAATTGGCCATAAGTCCAAAAATGTTTAAAATATATTGGTACCTACTATTGTTTATTATTTTTAAAAGGCTATTATTAATATTGCACCCACCGTCAACATTACATCTATAGCTCAAAGTGACTAAGTGGACCTCTACATTGATCTCAAATTCTTTACGGCCTATGATATAATATTACTTTTGAGTTTTGTTGTAAAAAATTGTAGTTGGCTGAATATAAAAACATAACATACCGTGTTTAGTGCAAAAACGCAAACATCGATTCGTCACAAATAACATTTTAATTACACTAATACACCAAACATATTTTATACACAAAAACTTCAGCTAATTGTATTTTTCCACAACACACAAGAAACACTCAACTCCCTCACTTTCAAGACCCATCCCGTGTTAATAACACACTCGTCATGCAAGCAGCAAAACATCTACTCGGGTCAATTGTCATTGCGTCACGTCTTGCACTACGACAGTCGTCAGCCATGGGCGCTATGGCTGTCCGAACGAAGAGTACCAAGGTCCAAAGTTCATCAGGATGTGGTTCACCTAGTCACTTAAAGAACATCGGATTTGACCTCCCATTTTGGGATTCGACATCATCTAGTAATCGTGAGTCAACGCTAAAACCCCCATCGGTTGGCTGTGGATCGTCACCGAAACCTCCGGCTGGTGGCTGCGGTTCACCACCTAAACCTCCGTCTGGTGGCTGTGGATCGCCACCAAAACCTCCATCTGGAGGCTGTGGATCGCCACCAAAACCTCCGTCTGGTGGCTGCGGATCACCACCTAAACCTCCTGCTGGTGGCTGCGGATCACCACCTAAACCTCCGTCTGGTGGCTGTGGATCGCCACCAAAAACTCCATCTGGAGGCTGTGGATCGCCACCAAACCTCGTCTGTGGCTGCGGATCACCACCGAAACCTCCGGCTGGTGGCTGCGGATCACCACCGAAACCTCCGGCTGGTGGCTGCGGATCACCACCTAAACCTCCGACAGGTGGCTGTGGATCGCCACCAAAACCTAAATCTGGTGGCTGTGGATCGCCACCAAAACCTCCATCTGGTGGCTGTGGATCACCACCCAAACTTACGTCTGGAGGCTGTGGTTCGCCACCGACACCACCAACTGGTGGCTGTGGAGCGCCACCAAAACTTATGTCCGGGGGTTGTAGATCGCCACCAAAAATTACGTCTGGAGGCTGCGGATCGCCACCAAATCCTTCACTTGTTGGCTGTGGAGCGCCACCAAAACTGACGTCCGGGGGTTGTGGATCACCAAAAAAACTCAAATCTGGGGGCTGCGGATCACCACCAAATCCTCTAACTGTTGGCTGTGGAGCGCCACCAAAACTAACGTCTGGAGGCTGCGGATCACGGCCAAAACCTCCTACAGGTGGCTGTGGTTCGCTACCAAAACCTCCGTCTGGTGGCTGCGGATCACCACCTAAACCTCCGGCTGGTGGCTGCGGATCACCACCGAAACCTCCGTCTGGTGGCTGTGGATCGCCACCAAAAACTCCATCTGGAGGCTGTGGATCGCCACCAAAACCTCCGTCTGGTGGCTGCGGATCACCACCGAAACCTCCGGCTGGTGGCTGCGGATCACCACCGAAACCTCCGGCTGGTGGCTGCGGATCACCACCTAAACCTCCAACTAGTGGCTGTAGTTCCCCACCAAAACCGCCAACTGGTGGCTGTGGATCACCACCGAAACCTCCGGCTGGTGGCTGCGGATCACCACCTAAACCTCCAACTAGTGGCTGTAGTTCCCCACCAAAACCGCCAACTGGTGGCTGTGGATCGTCGCCGAAACCTCAGACAGGTGGTTGTGGATCGCCACCAAAACCTCCAACAGGTGGTTGTGGATCGCCACCGAAACCTCCGACAGGTGGCTGTGGTTCGACACCAAAACCTCCGACAGGTGGCTGTGGATCGCCACCAAAACCTCCGACTGGTGGCTGTGGATCACAACCGAAACCTGCATCTGGTGATTGTGAGTCTACCCAGAAATCTAAGAATGGAGGATTTTGGTCAATGTGGAAATCCTCGCCGAAACCTCCGACTGGAGGATGTACATCACCGCCGAAACCCCCATCTGGTGGATGTGGGTCAACCCAAAAACCTAAATCTGGAAGTTGTGGATCGTCACCGAAACCTCCGACTGGAGGATGTGGGACATCTAAGAAACCACCTTCTAGTGGCTGCGGATCACCACCGATACCAGTACCGTCAGTCAAAAAATAAAGTAGCTATGGTTCTCGTGATCTACAAATTTCTACACTATGCTGTATTTTATTTTTGTAAAACTATGAATAAAGGGTTTTTTATCTAGCAAATTCATATGTTTTCAGTATTATTAATAATGTATAATATATAGGTACATTATCCAAGGCATTTGACAGATTATTAGACACATAAATGAACGATTTTAGCAAAATATGTGAATGTGTCACATATTAAGGATTATAGGATAGGGATAAGGATTTAGAGTTACAACGTTTGTGTGATTTTTCATTTATTAATATTCAATATATTTAAAAAAATTCTAAAAGTGAATTTAATGTACAAAATTATTTGTTTTTAATCATTTGATCGAAAAAATAATATGATGAAAACTTAACTAGTATTGAAGAAACAAAAAACAAAAATGTCTTTTTAGGTACTACCTATTTAATTAATTACTACCTACTTAATTGAATTTTAGAATAAAATATTGGTAACGAGTTGAAAAAATGTCTGGGAATTTAAAAAAAATATTTCTATAGGTAAAATAATGTAATATTATTATTTAATACTAAAATTATGACATTTTTGTAATATGCCACTTCAATTTATAGAAAATAAAACCAGATCAACGCAACTGTTGAAATACTCGATAAATGTAATAATTATTTTTGCTTTTCTTATTTTATAAGTTATAAAAAAAAAAATTATTGTTAAGCTTAGTTTTTTAACGGTTCACAGTTACAATAATAAAATTATTTTTGTCTGAATGAATCTTTATAAAATATTTAATTAATTTTCGTGGACATATTAAGTCCATTTCTATCAATAATTATACTATTTGACATTTCTTTAATACCAAATACTGATAAAAAAATTGTACGGAAAAAGCAAAAAAAAAGCATAATATTTATATTCAAAAAAATAAAAACATGACAAAAAAAAATAACTGGATATAAAATTATATAAAAAAAATTGAAAAATTGATTTAAATTAAAAAAGACTACCATTGTGTCTTGCTCGATTTGCAGGCTCTTTGTATATCGGTAAGCTATAGACGATAACATTACATTAAATACAATTAATAATCAAGCCGATAAACGAAAACAATAATGACTCAATAAACATTTAGTATTCCGGATTTTTACATTTCTTATTAATAAAATAATTTTTTTTTTTACACAGCCAAAATAATTTCAAAAAAGCAATTAAAAAAAAAAAATACAAACAAGCCAAAAAAAAGCAAAATAAATTGGTTTATTTTTAATTAGAATGTCATGAAACGAATTTATTTATAAAAATTATATTTCTATCTCATATATATATATAAAGCACATGTTTTAAAATCAGGGCATAAATTATAAGTAGTAAGTACGTCCTTCAAATATTATAAGAAAAATATAAAAAAATTATAAATATTATAAAGGCAATGTCAAATAAAATGTACTGAGAATGTTTTACCATAAATTTATATAAGAGAAAAGTTCGATAATAACGTGTTTATTTTTCAAAATAATTATAAATTGAATAGGCATATTTATTTTTATTTTTAATATTGAAACATTATAATATCACCCATTCGTTGTTCGATGTATCATCATGGCATGTAATAGGTACATGTACAATATGATTATTGATTAAAATTAATTAAATTAAAATAACTTAAAAATAATTGTGTTATTTATATTAGTCAATAAACAACTTGCTGTCTAATCTGTATTAGAAGCTAAATTGTAATTTTTTTCACGGTTCGTAAAAAGGTATCAATCATGTCACCCAAACACGCAATAATAATAAAATATGCAATGTGAGTTAATTCCTACGAGACCATTGTTGATGTATTGTGAATGATATACTCGTATTTCACTAATGTAATTAAAAAAATAAATATGCTATAGAATTAAAAAAACTTTATTGTATGCTTGGGTCGTAGAATCAATGGTTTGTCTAAAATAGTGTTATTAGGTACATTTCAAAACGATTTTCTGAACAAAATAATCGATCGTTTTTTCCAACTAGTTATGCAACAATATTAATACGAAGTGACTGTGAATTCTGCAGACCGCGTACAACTCGTCGAGGGCCTTGTTTACAGAACATTTCAGTCATATTTATCAGTAGAAAAAATTCGTAATAATTAAATCGATCGACTCAGCAATGATGTAAACGTTTCGCCGAGAAAATCGGAGAAAAAAAACGAAAAAACTTGTTACGCCCGGACAGGGACTCGAACCCTGGACCCTTAGGTTAAAAGCCTAATGCTCTACCGACTGAGCTATCCGGGCTCATTAGAAAATAAATGTTATATTACATTTTTGAGTTAAGAGGACGTGGCACAACCAATGTTGATCAAGTATATCTTTGTTAATTTCAAAATTAGAGTGAATTTACCTCTTACAAAATTTAAAAATTAAGATTATTATCTGGGCAGTATCAAGAGTCCATAGTATGTTTATTATATTTTAATTTTAGAGCTAGTTTATGAATATTTTAAGGTGCCTACAAATAATTCACAATTTTAAAATACTCATAACTAGCTTTTAAATTGAAATATAATAAAAGCTTATGGAATTTTCTAGATAACAATAATACTTTTAAATTGTATAAGAAGTAAATTCACTCTAATCTTTAAACTAACGGAGCTAAAAGTGATCTGCTTAGCGTAAAATGTTCTATGTCAGATGTCACGTCCTCTTAAACATTTTTATATCAATGTATCGTATATTATATTGGCTTCCCCCTTCCAAACATTTAGAACATCATAGCTTTAAAAAAGAGCATATACTGGTGTAACTCTATCAGTCGTTACCTGTCGGAAGCAGGGGCGGATTCACTCATAGACAACATTGATACGTTCCTAGTGTGTAACATCTTTTGAGGGCTCTAATTTTTAGTTGTAAGTTTTGTAACTAAAATAAAGAATATATTTAAGACATAATGACAAATTACAATTTACAATGTTATAATATTTAGATAATGATATACCGGAAATTAAAAATTAAAACTAGTTTATTCTAAGAACACTATAATAGTACGACAAATTCTAGATTTGCCGTTTAATCCTGAGCCCGGCTCTTCGGCCGCCGTCGGTAGAGGGCAGAAATTATTCTGAACTAGTGCGAAAATTATAAAATATAAATTTAATATATGCGGACGTATACAAACATTTTTCGTGTGTAGTGTGACCAAAACCTAAGTTGGTGCATTTGAGGTGGCAGGTGCGTCTACTCACACACGCAAAAACGCGTAAAAATAGTGTGAATAGCGCATGCGCACAACGCCAGCCTAGGTGGCCACTGTCCACCGACTCTAAACGTTGGACTGCCGGGTACATTGTATTGATACATTAGTTACTTGCTGTGGCGGGAGAGCTGCACTCGCATAGCAGCTGTTCGCTGTCGCCACTGATATTCGGGCCGTCGCTCGTCGTTTGGTGAACTAATAATAAGTCATAGATGAACACTGGCCAATACTTCCTCCATTTTCCAAATCCCTCACCATTTAAACAACACTTTACACTCGTGTAATAGACAATAGTGTATTTCTTATTTGGTCGTCTCATGTAAAAATGCATATGGATTGTGTTCGCAAGCAAACGAACTCATCGTCGATCGTTGATTTACAGAAAGTAATATCACAATACTACTTTCAGATTGAACAGTGACAACGTGGAGTAAAAATGTAATAATGATAGTCATCATGGGCGGCTAGACAACGCCGTCTGGCGGCCACTGACCCCGACGGCAATAAATGTAAAGATATCTAGCCTCCCCCCACGCCCGATGTTGATTGTAGAACCACTCTATAATAATAATATCTATTATAATATGATATGATTTAAAATTAAAAACTATTGACGTATTATTGCGTTGGAGAACACACCACGTACGATCGTACTGATCGATATTTTTTAAAACAACACATTTCTGCTTAGGATCAACTACTTTGTAGAGGCAGTATGTACGCATATTGAAAATTCTAGGGAAACCTGAGCTTCATCAAATTGAAATATATTTATTTTTTATACACTAATTCGATTAATAATACTATGATACTATGACTTTGTTGGCTGTTGCGTTAATGCACTAAATAGTAATAATATTAAATAGAAAATCATTAAAACGAGTTGTCTAAGAACGGCCGTTATAACTCAATAACTGTAATAGGTTCTCTGCTATATTGTATGATTTTAATATTTTGAGCTATTATTTTAAGAGGCCACTATACCCACAAGTGTTGTCTCTGTCTTATAAATGTGTAACATTGCAAACCTACGTTCAGGATTCTTACTACAGTTTATTTATATATTTAATATAAAACAATTCAGGTATTATAAATATTATTTAATTTTTAGAGGACAATAATATTAATAAAATATTGTATTAACTGAGCCCTCAGCGTAGAGATTTTTTTCATCTTTTTATTTTTAAACGATTTATAATAATTAATAAAATAATTCAATTTTTCAAATTCATATAATTATCGTTAAAACAAAATATATAAAAAAGACTGTACTCGGTTAATAATTCGTCTAGCAAAAAATTCAGTAATATGTAAATTTTCTGAAATATTAACTACAAATAAACTGTTGTTAAGAATCCGGTAGGTATGTACATTTACATAAAAATTCGGGGATAGGTTGATAGGTAGTAACGTGCAGCCCACTCGGTTAGAGAGTTCTGACTGCTAAGTAGTTACCTACTCCGCGATGGAACGGTTCAGCTGCGACCGTGGCTGCGAACGTTTTGGCCGTGACATTATTACTTATCCCCCTACTACTATATTATACAGGTCGATTGCTTAGTATTCTATGCATATTTTATGTAACGCACGGATAATATAATATGATTATGTGCTATAATTCAGGCAATGTTCACCGTGGTGGCCAGTCGCTAATAATAATCCTCCGATAAAACCCAAAACAACATAATATAGGGCGTAATGGTAATAATATAATAATTATTATTAAGAGCCGTCCAAAAGCCAGCCATATCGTTTGCATTCGTTATTTATATTATGGA